TGAATAGCAGCTGCCTACAAGATAGCTATCAATAGCAGTGGATAGCAGCAGGTCCCTGCAGCTGAAATAGGGTGCAGTAGCTGGTTCCCGCACGTAAACGGTAGGGGTTGCACAGCTGGGCAGGGTGAGAAAACAACCAGGCACTGTATATGGATCAAAAGAGGCATCATATAGCTTTCAAACACATCCAAGAGCATGCCATTCGGAGCAGTATTGGCGGAGATACAGGTGTACCCCCGTTTTTGCCGATGGGCACATCCACTAGAATTGGGAATTGTGGATGGATCCCCTCCGTTCTTTTGCATGGTGTGTGGTTCTCTCTCCAATAGATGGGATTGAAGTCCGATCGCGAAACGATGCACACAATCTGGATTGGATTGCCGATTACGCTTCAGCCACAGCACTTTTGATGGCTTGATATCTCTGCACCACATCCCCCGATAAGCATTTGGTTTTTTGCAGTCTCTTACATCAATGTATGAAGACACACTCTGGGTGTCATTTGGACGTGAAACACTCTGAACATGTCCCTGCGCATCTGTGCACGTTCAACACCCCTTCATTCATAGCTCCACAACCGTTGCTCCGATCGCCACGCTGCTTGCTGCAACCATTCGGCATTGTAAAGCTCAACCGAAATCATGTTTCGAATCTTTTATCGCACATCTGATAGCTTTGGTAAACCCATATCTCACCTTCAGTTTACCCCCTGATCGGAGGCAACTTGTCAGTGTGATAGCAGCACATGTACCTGATCTGAACTCAGATATAACACAGCTCCAAGACGCAAAAAGAATCTTGTTGATCGGCCAAGAATTGTCTGAGATGTCACAGTGGGGTCTGGAATGCAGGACTGAGCTGCAAAGTGTGGTATGAAACCTCTGCACATAACACCCACATATGCAGGCATGAAGTGATGTACTTACCCCCCAATCTGGCAGTGATGCTCAATCGAGTTCAATAGCACACTCAAACATGTTCCATGAGTTATTACACCATTTTAATGGCTGTGTGGGCCCAATTGCAGGTTTGTGTGAAGTGAGAGGTGCAGCTGTGAAGCAAAAGTGCACCCTGTTTCTACTACAGATGCTATATCTTCCTGAGTTCCTAACCAAATTTCATGATTCCTGCTGTGTTAGATACACAACGCAGAGCGCGATCCAGATCTGTAATGTTATATGTTATCAGATGATATGTCATAGCCCGGAAAAGGAATTGATGGGAAGGAAGATAAGGAGAGATATGTCTGAAGTGTATGCTGATAACAGTTTTGAGAGTAATATCCGTTTAGGCAGTAAAGAATGAACATACTGCAGCAAGCAGCATGGCGATCGGAGCAACGGTTGTGGAGCTATGAATGAAGGGGTGTTGAACGTGCACAGATGCGCAGGGACATGTTCAGAGTGTTTCACGTCCAAATGACACCCAGAGTGTGTCTTCATACATTGATGTAAGAGACTGCAAAAAACCAAATGCTTATCGGGGATGTGGTGCAGAGATATCAAGCCATCAAAAGTGCTGTGGCTGAAGCGTAATCGGCAATCCAATCCAGATTGTGTGCATCGTTTCGCGATCGGACTTCAATCCCATCTATTGGAGAGAGAACCACACACCATGCAAAAGAACGGAGGGGATCCATCCACAATTCCCAATTCTAGTGGATGTGCCCATCGGCAAAAACGGGGGTACACCTGTATCTCCGCCAATACTGCTCCGAATGGCATGCTCTTGGATGTGTTTGAAAGCTATATGATGCCTCTTTTGATCCATATACAGTGCCTGGTTGTTTTCTCACCCTGCCCAGCTGTGCAACCCCTACCGTTTACGTGCGGGAACCAGCTACTGCACCCTATTTCAGCTGCAGGGACCTGCTGCTATCCACTGCTATTGATAGCTATCTTGTAGGCAGCTGCTATTCACCCAATTGGGGGCTGCAGGGCAGGGTAGGGTACCTGTATACCAGATATTAATAGCTGGCCAGGCCAGCGACGATATGAGGCTATTAATAGCTGGATAGTACCTGACGTGAGTTATTACAACCCTGGGGATGTTCTGTCATTACAAACGGGACCTATTACAAGCCTGGGGGGCTGTTGTCATTAGGGTATCAACTTATCACAGCCCTGGGAAGGTTCTGTGATTAGAAACAGGGTCTATTACAAGCCTGGGGACACTTTTTCATTAGAATATCGACTTATTACAACCCTGGGGGCCTTCTGTCATTAGGAACGGGGCTTATCGCAACCCTGGGGAGGTGCTGTCATTAGAAACGGGGCTAATTACAACCCTGGGGATGCTCTGTCATTAGAATACCAACTTATTACAGCCCTGGGAGGCTTCTTTCATTAGAGACGAGGCTTATTACAGCTCTGGAGACCTTCTGTCATTAGAAACGAGGATTGTTACAGTCCTGGGAGGGTGCTGTCATTAGAATATCAACTTATTACAGCCCTGGGGGCCTTCTGTTATTAGTGGCGAGGCTTATTACAAGGCTGCAGAAGTTCTGTCATTAGACTTATGGCTTATTACAATGCCCTGGTGGGGATATAGTACAATGACCACCTGGTGGGGGTTAACAAAACCCGTTCTGCAGGCTCCTGGGCAATTGTATTACAATTGGGGTAACCACAGGTGGACGCGGAGGGCCCGGACGAGGCGGAGCAGGTGGTGGGCGATGCGGGCGGGGGTGCGAGATGCGAAGAGGGAGGAGGCGCAGAGCAGCGAGGGCGGGCGATGCGAGCGGGGAAGGGCCGCGCGGGCGGAGGAGGTGCGTGGAGGAGGGTGACGCGGAGGACTCGTGGGAGGAGGCGGAGGCAGAGGAGGGCAGCGCGCGCGGAGGAGTGCGAGGAGGAGGTGAGCGAGGCGGGCAGAGGCGGGCGATGAGGTGGGCAGCACACGCGGAAGCGGACGATGCGGAGGCAGACGAGGCGGAGCAGGTGGGCAACGCGGAGGGGGGGGACGTGGAGGAAGACGAGGACGAGGACGAGGGCGGAGACGGAGGCGGGGGGCCAGGACGAAGCGGAGGAGGGGGAGCCTAGCGACGTGTGTAGATGCGGGCGGCGGGAGGCGGCACGGACGCGGACGCGGGCGACATGGAGGAGGCTGATGATGCGCAGGTGGGTGACGCGCGTGGAGGAGGTGGGCCGCGTGGAGGCGAGCGAGACGCAGCAGGGCGAGGAGGAGGAGGGCGACATGGAGGTGAGGGAGGCGGAGGAGGGTGTGCGGGCGCAGGCAGGTGTGCAGGTGCAGGCGGGCAGCGCGAAGGCGGGCGGAAAGCAGCGTGGGGGTGGGCAACGGGGAGGAAGGCAGCGGTGAGGTGGACGCGGGGGTCAAGGCCTGCGGCAGGCCGGATGGGCGAAGCTGGAGAGGAGGGTGGGCATTGGGAGTGCAGGAGAACGGAGCGGGGGACTCACCAAAATGAGGGCCGCGGTACGTCGCGCGCCCCCCTAATTCTAATTTCCATGCTGAGGACGTCCGGATGGACATCCTCGTGCGGTGTGGATGCGGCCGGCAAGGTGGGCGAAGGACGGCGTGGAGGTCGAGGTTGAGGTCCAGGGAGGAGGAGGGGGGCGGGGTTGAACGGTGTCACCAGGTGACACCGGAGTCCAATAGCAGACGAAGGACGACTGTACAGTCGCTATCGTCTGCCTGGACGGTGGTGGGGGTGGAGCAGGAGGCGGGGAGGGGAGGAGGAGAGCAAGGACGGAGGGAGGGACGCGTGGTGTGCATCATAGCCACGCGTCGATGCGCGCCACGCGTCCTTGCCGCCCAACGAGGCGCGCCTCCACGGGCGCGCATCACGGATCGCCAGATCCGTCCAGATGCATCCGTAGCTGCCGATAGGCTATCGCAACGGATGCACCAGGGAAATCACCTGTGCTCCGCGGGCGCAGAGGAGGGCCCAGCAGTGGGCGCGATACGAACCGCGGTCCGATCCTCGATCTGCAGCGCAAGAAGCCTCAGCTTCTCATGCCGCACCAAGCGTACATGGCGCTCTTCAAGGACGATCTCAGAGACCAGTTTCAAGAATCATACAACACGTACCTCAAAGGCGAGCACTCCACTTTCCTGTTGACTCCCGACTCGAAAACGTTCGACTTCTGGACCTTCAAGAACAAGGAATGTGAACGTCTTCTCGCTTTGCAGTTGCAAGAAGTGAAAGACCAGGTTGAGGACTTCCGTCAGCAGCACTACTGCGAACGCCTGCCACTTTCCTTGATGTTCGACGACCTGGTGGCGGCGGACGGTCAGAAGGACCTCAACGAAAAGGTGAAATCCTTACAACGGTGAGTAGTCCATCATCCGAACAAATTTGGTCGACGTTTTGCTGACTGTATCTCACTTCAGCGCAATCGATGGCCTTCCACGCACGGGGATGGAAGCGTTGAAGTCACTGGAGGAACAGACCGGCTTCAAGGGGGTATTCATGCTCGGCGGTCCGTGCCCAAAGACGGGGGATTTACTCACCTATTCGTACGTCTTAATACCTGTTTGCTTCAGCACGCGGGCATCAGCTAACACTGATCATGTCTAGGATTATGAACGGCAATACACTGGTGCACAGCAACAGGTGGTCTGAGTCGGCGGAGGAGTGGCCGATGATTCAGGCGTCTTTTGAAAATTTTATCAGCAAGTCTTTCGGTGAGTTTGATAGCAATCTTGGCAGAGCCGAATGTACTCACTGCGTTGTTAGATCCGGACTTGCCCAAGCGGCTGAAGGAGCTCTTCTATGCGGACGTCGACACGGAAGTCGCCGGGCCTGAGTCGGGCGCTGAGGCAGCCGACGGCAGCGATGGCGGTGGGATGCAGGCATCTACCGAGGCAGCCTCGTCCTCGACCACGACCTCTGCTTCATCCATCCCCTCGTCGGACCTGGCTCCTTCCCTCTCATCGGACCCGTCCACCTCATCTGTCCTTTCATCGACACAGCCCCCGAGCTATCCTACGATGCGCAACGCCGGAACAATATCGCTCGCAACCGTCTTCTACTCGAGCAAATCATGAACCCCGACAAGGACGTGCACACCGGAGGTTGGATGGACGATGCATTGTCGTACTTGAAGGGGGCATGTGCGGCTTCGTGGTGGACGGACTTGCTGATACACTGGCGGAGGTTCGAGCAGAGGATGAGTACCCTCGAGTGTCAGGTATGTATCTCTTACTCCACATCTCGTGTTGCCGGCCTTTTAGTCAAGTCTACGCAGGGTTCGAGAAGATTCCTCTCCACTAAAGGCCGTCCCGAGGAAGTCAAATTCTGGATCAGCCATGGGCGTAACTACACCAAACCTCCCAAGATCGCCAACCTGTCGCTGTTCATCAGTGCTCTCACTCATTGGTGGTGGCGTCTTCAGCCAGAGTGCCGTCGAGTCGACGACGGATATTGGCCACTCTCTCGTGACATCCCCGTCGGCACTCGTTGGGGCGAACTTCAACTCGGCGGGCAAAATGGCTTGTTTATGGTCATCATGTCCCTCTTGTGGTGGATCAGCGCCATGGACGAGGACACGGCTGATGTAGAAGCCATCGTCGACGACCTGTCCTTCGCCATTATCCAGATCGCCCCTCCGCCGGCCCCCTCGTTCACGACATCCACGACGGCTTCCCCAACCACTGCGACGACCCCTGCAACCCCTGCGACGACCCCTGCCACACCCGCGACAGCTTCCGTCATGTCGTCCACGCCCGTGTCGTCGTCCACGCCCGTGTCGTCGTCCACGCCCGTGTCGTCGCCCGCGCCGTCTGCGCCCGCGCCCGTGTCGTCGTCCACGCCCGTGTCGTCGCCTGCGCCGTTCGCGCCCGCGCCCGCGTCCGCGTCCGTGTCGTTGCCTGCGCTCGCGCCCGCGTCCGCGGCCGTGTCGTTGCCTTCGCCGTCCGCATCCACGCCCGCGCCGTCCGCGCCCGCGCCCACGCCCGCGCCGTCGTCTGCGTCCGCGTCGTTGTCCTCGCCCGCGTCGCCGACCCCCACTCCGCACAAGCGTCAGTCAGAGGATGATGTGTCGGGGCATACTGGCAGTGGGAAAAGGGCTAAAACGGACCGCTAGGCACATCGAATAGAGCCTACAAAGTGCGCGTGAAGTGGTAATTGCACTCAACACTGTCATTGTCGTCGCTACATTCGATGTTATGTATCATTTCTTGAGGGTATCCGAATTAATGCTGTTGTAAGCGATCAACAGGGCCCCAGGCTGGATGCGGTAGCGGTGGACACGACGGGCCGGGCCGACGTGTGACACGTGGCACACGGCTCGCGCGATGCGCAACCAACGAGGCCACGTGGCGACTAACGGAGGACTAGGTGTTGAATCGCGCACGGCGTGAGTTCACGTGGTGTGGCACAGGCTCGACGCTCGACGCGCGTGCCGCCGAGAGCATAGCACGCGGCTGTACCGTGTGGGCGTAGTGGGCCTGCTCAGCAGTGCTGGACAGAACGAAAGAGTGCACAGTGTGCAGGGGCAACGCGTGCGGTGCGCGCGTACGGTGTATTTTGCCCCATGCGAAGCGCTGCCAGCCGCGTGAGCAGGCGCGATCTGGGTGCTGTTTGCACAGACGCTGGAGCCATCAAAGCGTTCGGTATGCCGTCTAGATGCAGTAAGCGTCATCCCGCACCGCGATCCACAACTCGCGGAACGCTCTTTCATTAGAATTGTAGCTTATTACAGCTCTGGGAATGCTCTTTCATTAGAATTGTAGCTTATTACAGCTCTGGGGACGCTCTTTCATTAGAATTGTAGGTTATTACAGCCCTAGGGACGCTCTTTCATTAGAATATCGACTTATTACAGCCCTAGGGACGCTCTTTCATTAGAATTGTAGGTTATTACAGCTCTGGGGACGCTCTTTCATTAGAATTGTAGCGTATTACAGCCCTAGGGACAACTTGTCATTACACCTAGGGCCTATTACAATGCCCTGGTGAGTATATAGTACAATAACAACGTGGTGGCGATTAGCAAAACGAGTTTTGCAGGTTCCTGGGGTGCCCACGCGTCCGTGTCCCCCGCTCAACAAGTCCCCTATGCCGGCCCGTGGGACACACACACATACCAATCCCCGACCGACAGCCTCGGAGTTCCCCTGCGCCTCGGCCACCCTCACGCCCGCCGGGTGGAACACGCGGTCGAGCGCATTCACCGCGCGCAGGACATGATCGAGCTGGGCAACCAGTTCCACCCGGGTGAGGGCACCGCGTGGGAAGCTGGCATCGCGCACAAGCACCTCCAGCGCCTCCAGGACGAAGCTGGTGGCCTCATCGACCTCGCCTCCGCCTGGTCCACCGCCGGCCCGTCTCGCCGCCGCAAGCCCCGCCGCCGCAATGACGCCGCCCCCGGCTCCGCCGCTAGGTCCGCTCCCGCCCCCCACACCCCAACCCCCCCGTAGATGACGGTACACCTCCACAAGGTTATTTATGGCCCAGACCTTCCCCCCGCACGTCCCTCCGCGTCCTGTCCCAGAACGTCAACCGTAACTCCAAAGTTATGCACACCCTCCTTCAAGCTCACCGTCTCCACTTCGACATCATCCTCATCCAGGAACCACGGTACTCCCCCATCAAGAAAATCCCCGCCCCGGCGGCAAGGGCAACTCCACCTCACGCGGCGACCGCACGCGGACGGCCGTACTACGGCACGCAGGCCGACTCCGCTAATTGGCTCCTGCTCGAGCACTCGTCCCTGAAGTCGGAGGACCTCGAGCCCCCCGCGTTGTATGCTACGTCAACCGCAGGCTCGCCTCCTCCCGCGTATCCATCCACCCCGCGCTCGTCCACCGCGACGTCATGGCCATCACGGTCGCCACGCGTGGCCTCCCCGCTTCCACAATTGTGAACGTGTACAACGACCCAGACAAGCCCCACGCGTCGGTGCTGCACGAACTCTACGAGTTCTCCCTGGACCCTCACCGCTCCCTCTCGGCGCCCGTCACGCTCCTGGCCGGGGATTTCAACGCCCACTCCGCACAGTGGGACCCGTCCTATGGCACGACCTCGTCGAACACCGTCCTCACCCGCATTGACCACGTGGTCGCCGCCCTCGGCGTCGCAAAACTGCTCTCCCCAGTAGACGCACCCACCCACGTCCCGCACGATCGCTCCCTTCGGGGCACTGTCATCGACCTAGCATGGGTCCCCCCTGCGCTGACGGACGCCGCGTGTACCGTCCACAACGGGCACCGCGGCTCCTCGGACCACGCCCCCCTCGCGATTGAGATCCCCACGGCCGCCTTCTCCACGATGGGCCCCCGTGCGTCCCCGCGGGGGAGTCGGCGAGGTGCTGGCGGAGATCGCCGCCGGCCTGCTCGGTGTCTTTGACCATCCCCTCCCTCGAGCCCGCTCGAGACGGCGCACCTCGCCTCCCGGGTCGTGCACGTCATCGAGACCGATTCGCGGCCCACGCTTCCCCGCGTCGCTACTCGCCTGCGTCCAAGAGCTGGTGGACTAAGTCCCTAACCGCGGCCCGCCGAGAACTCTCCCAGGTCACGACGGAGAACACCCCGCCCTGGCAGAAGCGCCACGCCTCTCGCCGCCTCTCCATCGGACTCGCCTCTCCCCAGAGTTCCTCGCGCAACACGACTTCAACCCCGTCGCCGCCGCTGACCGCATCGCCACCGCGAGGCGCGCATACTACCAAGCCTCAACCACGAACGCAACGCGCACTTGAGGAGCGCCTCTTCGAGTCTCCACTTGCTCACAGCGCGTCTGGGACCTCCTCAGCTGGGTCAAGCCGCGCCGCATGACCTCCTCCTCAGGGATGCGCCGCGCCGACGACTCCGTCATCACCACAGATGCTGACCTGGCAGTAGAGCTCGACCACCTTCCACAAGGCCGCGACGCCCGTGCGACCTGTCCATCGTGGACGACCTCCCGTCCAGCCCCGACCGCGACTGGCCTCCGTTCTCGGCCTTGAGCTCACTGACGCCCTTGCCACCTGCAGCCCCAGATCCGCGCCCGGCCCGGACCACCTCACGTGGAAGATGCTCAAGGCGCTCATTCGGTCCGACAACGCGCCGACCGGCCCCCGGACCCCCCGACTCCCCGAGCCCCTCGCCCTCCCCCGTCCTCCTCCCCCCCTCCTCTCCCCCGCCCCACCCCCTGCCGGATGCGGCGCCCGCGTACCCCTCGACCGCCGGCGCCCTCCTCCTCGAAGGGTTCCGCACGCTCTTCAACGCGTGCTTCCGCTTCGGCGTCTGGCCCGAGGAATTCCGCCGCGCGACCACCGTCGTCATCCCCAAGCCGTCCAAGCCCGACTACACCAAGGTCAAGGCATACCGCCCCATCGTCCTCCTCTCCACGATCGCCAAGTGGATGGAGAAGGTCATCAACACCCGCGTGCAGTTCGCGGCCCACAAGCACGGGATCCTCCACCCGTGCCAGTTCGGGTCCAACTCCCAGCGCTCCACAACCGACGCGGTGGCCTACGCGGTCAACTACGTACACCAGGCCTGGCAGAAGAAGATGGTGGTCACGATGGTCGGATGCGACATCGGCCAGTTCTTCCCGTCCGTCAACCCTGACCTGCTCGTCGCCGTCTGCGCCCGCCGCGGCTTCGGCGCTCCCTTCACGACGTGGCTCCGCGCGTATCTCGGCCCCCGCAGGTCGTCGTTCCGGTTCAACGACCTCATCACGGACTCGTTCGACTGCCCACGCGTCGGAGTCGGCCAGGGCAGCGCGCTCTCCCCGACCTTCTCCGTGCTCGCCCTCACTCCGGTGCTCATCGCGCTCGACAACGCGTGCCGCTTCCCTTCCCCGCTGGGGGGCGCACGCCCGTACCACCACTTCTACGTCGACGACGGCAACCTCATGGTCGCGTCCCCGACGTCACCACGAACCTCGCGTTGATCGGCCCGCTATACGAGACGCTCGCCACCTCCCTCGAACGCGCGGGTACCTCCTCGAACACGAGAAGACGGAGGGCATCCACTTCATTCCCCCCACAGCGCACACCGCCCCCACGCACCGCGCCATCCCCCTACCCGGCTCCCCACGCACTCAAGCCTCCCACGGCATCTGCCACCTCGGATTCCTGCTCGACAGCAAGCTCGATTGGCGTGCCCACGTCAACCACTACGCGCACCGCGCACGCACCACCACCGCGGCCTCCCGCATGCTGGGATCCTCGGCAGCGGCATCAACCCCTCGCAGCGCCGACTCCTGTACGTGTCATGCATCCGCCCGTGCTCACGTATGGCTGCCAGGTGTACTACCGCGAAGGGTTCAAGACAACGCAAGGTCCTCGCAACCGCCCAACACCACGCCCTCCGGTGGATCACGGGCGCGTTCTCCACACCCCCACCGGCGCCTCCATGCGCTCGCGGCGTGGTCCCGGTCCGCCTCTTCTGCCGCAAGATGCAGGTGTCCTACCAGCTGCGCATCGACACGCTCATGGCGACGCACCCAGTCCGCCTCCTCTTCCCGGGCCGCTACCCCCCTCCTCCCACTTCCCTCCCGCTCCCCGCATACCCACCCACGCGCGCGCCTGCGCATGACATGTACCACTCGGCCGTCGGGGCCGCCTCGCTCCTCCCCCACCACCCTGACACCCTCAACGCCCCCTGTCGGACACCCAGTTCGACGTCCTTAACGTAGAGGCCACCCCCGGCGCCCGCATCCTCGACGAGTTTGCGGACCGCATCCACTTCAACCTTGCGCACCCAAGAAGATCGACGCCGACGCCCAGGCTGCCTTCCTCGCGAACGTCGTCCTCCCGCGCATCGCCGCTGCGCACGCCGACCCCAACACGCGGTCGTATTCACCGACGGATCAGCCACGCACGACGGCTCCCACACTGCCGCGGGGTACATGCTGTACTTCCCAGACGAGGCCACCCTCTGCGCGTCGCACGCTGCGCCCTCCGGCCGCGGCTTCTCCACCGACGCCGAGATCCGGGCGATCACCGCGTCCCTCGCGTTCTTCTCCCCCTCACGCTCCAGCGCACCGCCGCCACCCACCTACACGTCTTCTCGGACTCGCTGGCCGCACTCCAGTCGCTCCTTAAACCCAAGTCCAGCTCCGGCGACCTCCTCCTCGCCGCGTCCCTCCTCCGCCTGTGGCTCTCCACCTCCCCCGACGCGCACCTCCACCTGTCGTACGTCCCCTCACACGAAGGCGTACCAGGCAATGAGGCCGTCGACAAGCTCGTCGGTAACGTCGCACCCGATCCCCACCCACGCACGCACTTCTCCTACGCGAAGCGCGCGATCGCAGTCGAGACCTGCAACCTGTGGCGCGAGCTCGCCTTCGAGCACACCCCCGGCCAGCCGCCCCGCCCAATCCCCGAGTGGTGGGGACGCAGCTACGTCCACCACCCGGCGCTGCACGTCTTCGACCCCGCGTCGTCGGCGTCCCTCATCTGACGCTTCGGAGATGCGTCCATCCGGTTGTACTCCAAGCTCTGCCGCGTCCTCACTGGTCACGCGTTCACGGGCGACTACCGGGCGCGCTACCGCCCGAAGGCCGCCCAGCCCACAGACTGCACGTGCGGACACTACCCGCGCGGCTCCCCACTGCACGACCGCCACCACATCCTGTTCGAGTGCGCGTACTACTGGCGCGGGTCCCCCCAGACCCCCATGATACCGGCACTCCTCACGCGGCCCGATGACCCCCTCCTAGGGCTCCGCACCGTAACGGCATTTGCGAGATTACGCCGTATCGTAAAGTTTCCGTCCGGCACGGAATACCGGGTCCCACGCTCCGTAGCGCGTGCGTAAAGTTACGACTTCCGCCCGGCTTTTGCGAGTTCCTGCCCGGCATTTACGCGTATCCGCCAGTGCATGGCCCGGCTTTCCTCGGCAAAGTCGGTCAGCCGGGACACCGCCATTTGCCGAAGGTACCGTTCACCCGGGCTCGGCCGGACTCACCCGGTTACCTCGGCAGAGTCGTCCGGCTGGACTCGCCCGGTTTTCCCAGGGGAGTCGTCCGGCCGGACCCACCCGGTTTTCGCGGAGGAGCCGTCCACCCGGACCAGGTCGAAGTGAGCCCGGCGCTGCATGCAGAAAACACGTCGTCCGGCTTCTGGAAGGACTAGATTGGGCCATCTGGTTATATAAAGGAGTTTGTGGTCTCTGGGCAGCACACACAGGGCTGGGGCATGTTACAGTGCAGAACTTCTTGGTCGCCCGGTTCCGGATGAACTCACCAGGAAGGGGAAAATCGGATATCTATTGGGACATAATAGAGTGTAATGAGACCCGATTAGTGTCATTAGTCGAAGCCCCTATATTAGTCTAATCTAATGAGCTAGCTCATGATCCCCCGACGGCTAGCAGGGCATGATTAGTGGCGAATAAGAAGGCATAATATTGACTTGCTTGGATATCAATGGAGGCCGATAAACCGGTTTGTTCGCGCATTCTGCGAGCACTCGGCACACATCGGAGAGTACACTGATCGATGTTGAAAAAGGTAGTAGGAGAAACATGGCGATCATCTTGAGATTATGGCTCAACGCCACGCTGCGGCCGAAGGCAGCTCGACACAGGGAGGAGAAACGAACGATGGGGTTACGAGGAACACCGCGGTGGGCGCACCTTGAGGGACGAGGTGGCCGGCACGGAGGAAGAGGACGTAGGCCCAGCCACGCTCCTGGTGGACGACGCTGGCAAGCGCGCCGCTGCCATCGTACAAGGGGGCCACGGGCGTGGACGGCCATCGGGTGAAGCCTTGCTTGCCTCCGAAGGTCGTGTGCTGCGAACATGCGTGGTCGTCAGCCCGCGAAGTTCGCAGTGAGGTGGCATTTGCACCTCTCACATGTCCACCTTCTGTCAGTAGCCACTTCCAGTCTCCGCTGCCTGAGGCAGCGGTACCACTGAAGAACGCCGAGCCGTTGCGAGGGAACTCGGGGTTGAGCCCATCCTCGATCGAAGACCCTGGCTACATACATCGAAACCGTGTTCTAAATATGCATATTCAACCGACACGCCAGCGCGCGCACACCGCATATACCTGGCAATCGACAAGTTGGGCGCATACTCGATCATCTCGTGTCACACGTACAAGTTCCGCGCGCTTCACCCTCGTCTTCACGTTCGCCCAAGCGTACTTCCGGGGGGGTGGGTCTCCAGTCCGGACTTGAAGAACTTGTGCCGTGAGCCATGGAGCCCTGACGTGCGCGAGACATACTTGGACGTGCGCGCAGCTGGGGCATTTGGATTGTGGGTAGGTTGACGTTGAGCCCTCAGAGGTGTAACAGAATTCATACGTGCTGGGGTTATAGTTGATTAGCTGGGTAGGTCTGGATGGCTTACACAAGCTAGTTGCATGGACGAAAGAGGACAGGACGGGAGTTGTAGCAAACGACAGTGTGTGGAGGACGCGACCGATGGTTGAAAATGAAAGAAAGACGGCAGAAGAAGATCGAGTGAACGTACATGGCATATTAAGTCCATTCCCAACACCCGCGCGAGTGTGCACTAGGGATCGTCACGGGTAACCCTCGGGTCGTCCGAGGGCTACCCGTACCCTTACCCGCAGATACCGTGACCCGTGTAGCGCGGGTGAGGGTATGGGCGGGTCCGATGGTTCAACCCGAGGGTCTTCACGGGTACAGACCCTCCACGGGTAACCCGCGGATGCCATACCACGTAAGGGTCATACAAATTGTATTCGTATACACTCCGCCCGGTCCTCCTCTCTCCAGTCCGGGACGAGCTCGCACCCGCCCTAAGTCCCCCGCCACGCCCGGACCGAGGAAGCCCCCACCGGGCACGAGCTTGGATGGAAATGCGCGGTGCACGACGGCACGCGACGGCGTCGGCGACGACGGCGTTCGTGCGCACCGTGTCATCCACACAGGCAAGCTTGCGTGGGTACCCGAGGTCGTAGCCAACGCGGTGGTGCGCCCAGCAGAGGTGGGTGTACGAGGTGCACATCGCGGCGAGCTCGGCGCATGCGAGGCGGGTCATTCAGCGTCGGCAACCACTTCGACCGTGGCACAAAATCGTCCACCCGGCTTGCCGGCGACCCTTCAGCAACCCTGCGCCACGATGAACTGGTGTGCACCGCCGCTGAAGTGGGGGTGTGGTGGGTTCCCTGGCCACTTGAGGGGCTTGATGGCGGCGAGCGGTCGGTGTGCGGGTCCAGGAGAGGGTGTGTATACTCGCGCCATCGCCGAACTTGGTCGCAGCGGATGCACGGGGAGGTGGGGAGCGCGGATGAGGACAGGGCAGAGGGCCGGTACGAGGCGGAGGAGGCAGAGGGCGACGTGAACGGAGGCGCGTGGCACACGTGGACGGGCGAGGGGAGGAAGGTGGCACAGAGGAGAACGAGGAGGAGGCGGACAAGGTGGAGGGCGGCGTGGACGAGGGCACGCGGGGGGCGGGGCCAAGGCGGACGAGGCGGAGGGCTGAACGCGCGCGGAGACGGGCGACACGGAGACTGAGGATGTGGAGGGGGACGTTGACGTGTTGACGAGGGTGGCCGTGAGGGCGGCGCAGCCCGTGTCGGCGGCGTAGTCGTGACGCGCGCGAGGACGAGGGTGGTGAAGGAGGTGGACGCTTGAGCGCACGCCTTAGAGCGGGGTCTGCATCGCGAGCGTGCATGGGGCATTTGAGCGGGAGGAGGAGGGGGCGCGATGAACGGAACAGAAAGAGTGCTCACTGGGGGTACGCGGGAATGTTGTCGGGCTCAGGTGGTCGAGGGGACAGGGCAACAGGTCGAGGGTGCCGCGGGCGCGAAGGTGGGCGGCGTGGGCGCGAAGGGACGAGGGCGTGTGGGGAGCGGAGTAGAGGCGGACAAGGCAGAGGGCTGAATGCACGTGGAGACGGACGACACGGAGGTGGATGTGGGTGACGCGGAGACTGAGGACGTGGAGGAGCGCAGCGTGGGCGCAGAGGACTCCGACGAGCGCAGTGTCGAGCGCGAAGTGGTCAGCCCGCCGTCCTCCCTTGCCCTCTCCTAGGAGGCCAAATGCACATGACTCACCTCGCGGGGTCCTATCATCCCATCTGCTACTGCCGCCGCCATCTCGCCCGAGCCCTGCCCACCCAACTCTTCCATCCTGGCCCCAGCGGCAACCAGTGTTTCAGGGTTGCATCGGCAGAGGACGGGCGTGCCTTGTGCCGTCGTGTGGTGGTTTGCGAGGAGGTTGCGGAGCGACCAGCTGGGGTTGCTTCGTGCCGCTGTGGATGATGGGTCGTATCGATTGTGGGGAGGTAAGGCGCGGAGCACTGGCCACAGTGAGGGCGACACATCTCTCGTAGGGCGCTTGCACAGTCGTGGCACGCACGGGTAAACGCGGGTCCCGCGGGCCGGCCGCGAGTACCCGCGGTGCGCCGCGGGTGCTCTGACCACTACCCGTACCCTCACCCGCGCGACCCCCACCCGTGACCCGCACGGGTTTTGATTACCCGTGATGATCCCTAGTGTGCACCCCTTCAGCCTCTGGTGTAAAGCATCTTGCAATGGTGGAGGTTGTCCAATAATGAGTATGGGAGGTCAAGCTGTCAAGGGGAGAAGTCGAAGCCTGAAGGTGATGTGCTGGCGTCCGGCTCAGCGGCCGACGCGTGGGAAATTGAAGGCTGCGCCTTCTATAAGTACACAATCTATTCGGGCGTTTGAGTTGGACGAGCGAAGCGAGATGGATCGCGTCGCCGCTGCTCTCTTGGGGGACCTCGGTGAGAGCGCTGCGTCGGCACGCCCCGACGGTAAGGACGCGGACGTGCGCTCTCGGCGACGTGAACGCTGTTATGAACATGGGCTTAGCGCGCTCAAGGTAAGAAGAGTTCTATGAAACCTCCTTCCCGGCAGTCTATCCGCGGTTTACGAGATCGCAGGCGAGCAGCCTTGAGGGCACGGCTCGGTGACCGCTGATCGCACCGACTAGCTCGGCGGACGATAAACAGTGCAGGCGAAGACGACAAACACGCAAGAGACGGGCACGAGAACAATACGGAACGGGACCGAGACCTCGGACAAGACGATGATTGTAGCGGTAAAGGGTGTATCTGAATAGAACCGAGGTGCTCTAATATATACAAAGTGGAACGCGATCGGTGCCAAGGCACACGAGAGGGAGAACAAAGGAATTGAGTCAGAAAGAATCCCTGCGCGAGCCTTGAAGAAATCGCGAGGTCGGTGTTGCGTAGCGCTGGGACGGAGCGCCGGCCCGTCCCACGACAGCTCTCGAAGACAGGGAACGCGACGCGGCGCTCCCGGCCCGAGACCGAGCTCAATCCAGCGGAGGCGAATCTAATTAATACAGAAGACGGAGCAGTTGTAAGACGTAGTACAGAAGAAGGGGTGGCGGAAGGGTGAGGCGGGAATGAGGAAGTAGTCGACCTGTCGAGCGGCAAACGAGCGCGTGGTAGAGAGACAGGGTGAGGAACTAAGACACGAGAACTGAGGTCGTATATACGCAGAAGAGAGACGAGTTGTAGAAGGGAGCTTGTGGCAAACAAACCGTGGTCGACCAAGTTAGTGGGAGGAGCGGCCGAAGCTTGAGAGACGCGCGCAGGCTGAGGCCAAGCAACTCGCGCGCCGCCATATTTAGACCTCGGTCAACAACCCGACCGCAGCCGCAGCGCGCACGGCCGTTGAACAACGGCCCGAAGCTCTCTGCCCCGCACCGACGGTGATTGGAAAGGGATCGCGCTCACGCGGCGCCCGAACCATCCGTCGCGATCCTCGCGCATTGCGTTTCGGGGCCGACGGACGCAGCAGAAACCCCACCCAAGCGGATTTGTACGCCCCGGCATCCTCGCCGCGCACTCTGATATGAATTAACAGCGCTAAAGAAGCCCCCTCCGTGGCCCGTGCAGCTATTCCGCCGTCTGAGGGCGGTCGGCTCGTTTTACGACCTCATGGGATTCATCGGCCTGGGCGTGCGTCAGGCTTTTTCGGCAGCGCCAAAATTGCGCGGGGCTCACCGTTTTCGGGCGCCTATCCGATGCGGGCGCCTCCGATTCATCAACGCCCTCAGAATTGAAGCAACTTGCAGGCTGAAGAACGTCTTCTCTGCGATCGATTTTGAAGCGAGGTTGCAATGCAAAATTGCCGTCCAGGAGACCGAGCAGGATTCTAGGCATGGAGGGCGGGTTACTTTGCCAGGAGGACGGGTGCGGGCCGCGCTGCCGATGGCCCGTTCTGCGGCGGCGCCGGCCTCCTATTTATACGCAGTTCGGATTATGTAAGAGCGATGGAATGCCCGCCGCCACCGCCGCGGGGCCGGGCGTGCCAAGATTCGGTCCGGCCGTCCGAGCAGCGTATATGGCACAGCTCCGATCCGATGTTCCTGACGAATACGGCGGGTTTTCGGCGGATTTCGGGCCGCCCCCGGTCCGACTCCCGGCGCCTGCGGGGCCGAAGAGCCGATGCATCGGTCTCCGTCCGGAATTCCTGAGCAAAGGATAGAGAAACCACCGTGTCATAACGGCAAGCAGAGCAACACATATATACATGACGGCGGCGCGGTGAACGAGTGTGATACACAAGAAGGCGTCCAATCTAACGCGTTAAATTTCGTCACCGTCCTCATCTTCCGCCCTCTAGAGGAGCTCATCGTCTTGATCCCCCACCGTCTCATACAGCTCTCCATCATCGTCCTCGTTGTTTTCATACACCTGCAACCCATCCGGCAGCGGGTGTCTCAGCGCCCGAGCGAGCCGCCTCCGGTCGCGGAAGAACCGACGAATTGCGTCGTACCCGTTGAATCCTAGCAGCCGATCCAACTCCGCGTACACCGCGTCGTCCCAGTGCAATCCAGAGAGGACGTTGTCTACCGCAAACGCCGACGCGATCAGCAGCTCACAGACGACGTTCCACTGATCAAGCGCAAGGCGGAGGCTCCGCAAAGTTCGCGTATCAGGGACGACGGGCCCCGGGGTCGCGCCCGCCGACGGCGAGGAGGGAATGGGAATAGAAGAATCACTGCTGGTGGACGCGACGCTGGTCTCCTCCAACTCGAGCTTTTGCGTCTTCAGTGCAGTTGGCTCCGGGGATGGACTCCTATCCCGCTTGCTCGACGATCTAGGCCTGAAGCACGGGCGTATGCGGCGGGACGGAGTGTCGCTGTAATTGATTCCGTATCTGGGCAAGCCGTCGCCAAGCTTCAAAAACTCCTGTTCCCTGCACCCGCCGTATGTCTTCGAATGACCCTGTATAAAAAGTGCTCGGGCCGCCACCTTCCGCGCGTGCTCGCGGCTGAACTTGAACTGCAGCGGGATGACATCGAAGGGGCATTCGACCGAAGGGCCCTGGCAGCGCTTCCAGTCGCCTTTTCGCAGGTGCGTGATGGTAAAGTCGACGACACCCTCCGCGACCGCCCGACCGGAGTCCTTCATGTCTTTGACCAGCCAGAAAGAGCGGCCGTCGAAGAACGCGACCGGGCCCACGCCGTTCACTGGTCAAGCCGAGTCCTCAGTGCTCCGCCCCTTTGCACGGATGTCGTTCAAATGCTCACCTCGTATAATGCCATCTACACCCACCCCATACAACGTGCAGACAGCGGCGCGGGCGTCGCAGGCGACGCAAGGCGTTCCGGATCCCGTGCAACCCACGGGCTCGGCAGATTCAAAGCATCGGTCGCACTAGACGGTACAGGCCGCCGGGTCACGTCAGCAAGGTGAAAATTTCTATTAGGTCGGCGAGGCGTACTTCGACAAGAAATGTGATGCTGGGCTTCCGCATCTGATATTTTATGGTTGCTTGGTTAACGTTCGTAGAGCTGACTTCAAGAGACATGACCGAAAAAGCGACGGCAGATGGTGGGAGGCAAGCGAGGCGGTCCCTGAATATCGACGGAGATGGTGTGATCTTTCGGTCGTGCGGGTGCAAACGCCGCAAGGTTCGGTCTCACGCCGAACCTCCGGTTCTTCATGGTCGCCGGTCCGAAATTCTGAAGCGGCAGGAAGGACGCCGCTTCAGAAAGAGCTCATATTTTCAAACGTCCGAGGTTCTGGCACGACGC